GAATTCTTATAAAATTTACATAAAGAGTTATTGATACTGCAATATTAATTTATTTGCAAAGAAAAATAAGATTATAAAACATAGACCAGGGTTCCTAGTAGAGCTATTTGTGATGAAGCAAATGCTTTAGATCTACCCAGCCGAATGTATGAGCACATTTCACCATAGCATAAATGAAACCAGGCAATTAGTACTGTGAATTTATAGCTTATTTTACAATTTGTAGATTTATATTATGTTTGCAATATTTTCCGCACTGGAAAGTTTAGAATACATTTTTAAAGCATGGTTTATGGTCGTTCATTTGTATCCCCCTTTTTTGTTAGGATAGTACACAGCTGCATTCTCTTAATTCAATGAACAGAGAGATTTGTTCTAATAGTGTCTGTGGACAGGCTATCATGTCTGCATCTTGTACAATGAATAACCACTAAGACAACAACGTGCAACGTGTTAATTATTGAAACTGTCCTACTAATCGGTTTTGAAACTGTCTCATTGCTATTTGTTTCCCAATAAAATTATTTTTTAAAAAAGCATAGTTCAGGGCTGGGGAGATGGCTCAGTGGAATAAGCACTTCCCTGGCAAGCGCAAGGCCCTGAGTTCAATCCCCGGTTCTGCAAAAAAAAAAAAAGCATAGTCATGAAATATATTAGGGACGCATGTGAAAAAGGACTGATATGACATTTAGAAAGTCAAATAAGAAAAGTTGCTTTTTTATTTATGTTAAGGAAGGGTCTACAGGGTGTGCAGGGTCTCAGTACTAGATCAGACTCATGGTGATCTGCCTGTTTACAGCCTCCCAAGCGCTGGGCTTTCAAGCGCGCGCCGCCACGCCCAGTCTGAAAAGTTGCTTTTGATAGAATAAAATAGGAATTGCACATCATACTTCTACATTGGAGTAATTAGATAAAAATTGACGGGCCGTGTTTTCAGGATATAAAGATTGCATCTTGATTTTTTTTCTCCAGGAGACCAAGATGGTGAGGTCACAAAAGCCCGCTGTTACGAGTTCCGTTCCACAGGAGCAGTGACTGCTCTCGCTCTGTGCTTCTCCGGGCAAAGGCGTCCTCCACCTGACTTTCCCGTGTACAGAGGAAAGCACTGAGTAACCGAGGAAGGCCACAACCCTCAGACAGGTGTCGATAATAGAGGCTGTAACTCCTCGGGACTCTGTTGAGAGGCACCCTGAGTTGTCTGTAGAAACCCAGACACCTACCAACCTGCAACTCCAGAACAGACTTGGAGAGCACCGGGATGAAGCCATTATGAGGAGAAATTGGAATGATGCAGCCAGTCCATTATTCATTTACAATTCCTCTTAAACTTTATTTTATTTCCCTTTTTTATGTATTTAGTGCAAGGTTTAAAGGGTCTCACCATGTAGATCAGACTCATAGTGATTCTCCTGCTATAGTTCCTCGAGTGCTTCCTGTGTTCCAACTTCTGTGTTTTCCAGGTACAATAAAGAAGCACACGCCTCAGAGCTACTATAAACAGAAGATTAAGTAGTCCATGAATTTGGATGGGGAAACCATGATGGATCTTACCATCTCCAAAATGCAAAATCAATAAAAAGCATGAATTTAGAAAACAAAAATAGCTCAGCGGATACCCAGGCTTCGATCTCAGGGGCTTCCATCCCCAGGCCTGCCATGCAGGCCCCAGCCCCGGAGTGCACTGAGATGGCAATTGAGACTGGACATGGTGGTGCGTACCTGATATCCCAGCACTTGGGCAGCTGCAAACAGGTGGATTACTATGAGTCCAATCTAGTACTGAGCCCCTGAACACCCTGTAGGCCCTTCCATAAAAAGAAAACACACAAAAATAATAATAAAAAAAAACCCACAAAACTTTTAAAATTCCCCTCCTGAGAAGGAAGCAAAAACAAAAAATAAAAGAACAGAATGAAAACAAAGCTTTGTAAATAAGGAGCAGAAGGCTGGCGAGATCGCTCAGTGCTCTAAGTGCCTGCCTGGAAAGCACAAACACCCAAGTTCTATTCCCCGTACTGCATGCCGTGCTGTTCCCAGAACCCGGGTACCCCCGTGCTGGCCCTGAAACACGGCATGGTGGCACACACCTGTAATCCCAGCACTGAGGAGGCTGAGACAAGAGGACCACTATGAGTCTGAGCTGTGGAGTGATGCCCTGTACCAAACACATAAATATTAAAAAAAAAAAAGGAGGGGAAGAGGGGTTCAAAGGAGGAGAAGGGCCTGGGAAAGAAGGAATGAAGATATATTATGTACAGGTACAAATTCCATGTGATGAATGTGGTCATTATGCATAGCTAAGGTGTACCAATAAAATTAATTTTAAAAACAAACATCCCCCCAAATATCCTAAAATGCAAAACTTTTAGGAGGGCATTGGACAAGCAAAGCTCCCAAGCAGTTATGAAGAACTAAACCTGGCACAAGCGCTTTGGAAGCCTCCCGGTTAGCTCGGTTGTTTAAGCACCGGCTCCTGCAGATGCAGTCAGACAGAGGACACCGCGGTTCGATTCCCACCCCCATGTGCCTTTCCAGGCCCACCCTTAAGGCAGCCTGAGCCAGCCAAGAAAAAGAAAAACAATCATTCTCAACTTTTCTGAGGCATGTCAACTATTCAACATGGAAGCAGAGAGCGGAGATGGATAAGCTGGAAGTGATGTTCCAGAAAGCTGACTCTGATCTGAATTATTTTCAGTACAGGCTGGAATATAAAATGACATCTAATCATCATGATTCAGCAGGAGAGAAAAATCCAGTGATGCTCTTAAAGGAATCATCAGTAATAAAGTCTCGATACTAAACTTCGTATGCACATTTTAAACTTGTTGTTGTTGAAGGCAAGATACTAAGAGCCGCATTTATACTACTTTGAATAAGACTATGACTATGAGAGAAGAACTACAAAAGCAAACAGATGTGGAGCTGTTACCACCGACTGAAGAAGGAAACACTGGAACAGAGCAGCTAAAATCTCACATGCCACACTTAGGAAGAAATGGAATTGCAAAAGCGAACACCAGGAGCCGGGGAGATGGCTCAGTAGAAGGGCTTGCCTGGCAAGTGCAAGGGCCTGAGTTCAATCCCCGGTTCTGAGAGAGAGAGAGAGAGAGAGAGAGAGAGAGAGAGAGAGAG